CCCCCGGCTGTGGCCAGACCTCCGCCCCCAACCCAGCGTGGCCCCGGGGGCCATCCTGGGCGACACCTGCCCTGCGCTGCGGGCCCCAGAGTGCGCCGTTAGAGAAACCTGGGCTTGGGGTTCGGCCCAGATGGGGAGCCACAGGCGCAGGGACCCGGGAACCCCTCCCCGCCCACTCCGGTGTTCCCGACAGTGTTGGCGCTGCCCTTGGGGGGTGCTTGGCAGGGGCAGCGCTGGCTGGTTCTAAAGGGGTTGAAACTAGGTTGGATTTCCAATACCACCCTCCCGAACCCCCGCACCCCCGGCTTGCCAGGCTTCTTTAACCCTTTAATGGACTTGTTTTGTGAGTGGGTGGACATCGAAGACCGCTGAGCCCAAGATGAAAGGTCTAAAGACGGGAGCTCTGCAGTCGTGCCAGACCACGCGGCGGTGGTGAACGGGTCTGCCTGCTGGTGCTCCCCGGCTGCTGGGCGAGTTCCCTGCTGTGGGCGAGCATAGGCTGGAATTTGCACCAGGGTGGAAAAGCAGGGTCTCCAGCCAGGTTCCCCCAGCTGGGATCCAGACCCTTGGGGAAAGGGGCTGGAAATAGCACTTACAAGCCGGTGCTGAGCTCGCCCGGTCTGCAAGCAAGGCCCCGTCAGCGCCCGCTCAGCTCCGCCGGACCAACCTCTCTCTCTGGCCCCAGCTTTGAGGCCCAGGGAAGCGCAGGGGTCGGAGGCCCACGCCCAGCCTCAGCAGGCCGTCCTCCCCGGGGCCCTGCTTCCTCATCCTTGCGTTAGGCTGGGGTCAGGTGGAGGCAGAGGGGGGAGGAAGGAAGAGGGCCCGAGGGTGTTGCTCCTGCATCGAGCTTCCTCTCATGGGGACCTTGTGTCTCGGGCAAAGTTCCAAATGTGGTCCTGGGACCCTCTGTCCCAGACACAGCCCCTCAGGGAAGGCTACCACCTGGTGCCTGGTATGCTGGCTTCAGGCAGTCAGAAGGGAAGAGATCGTCCCCTATTCTCCTTCCAACCAAGCTGTGTCACTGTGGTTGTCCTTGGCCTTCTCTGTGTTTCAGCACGAAGCTTGCCACATGAAGGGGTGGGGTGGAGGGGAGGGGGAGCCAAAGGGCACGGCCTTCAGGGTCCCTGGACCCCACCCCCAGGCTGATTCTCCACCCCTACCCCCAGTATGGCATTGTCCTGGATGCTGGCTCTTCGCACACGTCCATGTTTGTCTACAAGTGGCCAGCGGACAAGGAGAATGACACGGGCATCGTGGGTCAGCACAGCTCCTGCAATGTTCGAGGTGAGGCCCCCCCAGCCTGGACACTCACTCTCTGTGGAGTCTCAGAGTCCCTCTCCAGCCTTAGCCTTTGTAGGCCCAAGCAGTCGGGCCCCTCTCACTTGATGTCAGACAGGGCTCATTCCAGGCAGACTGGGCCCTCTGAATCTGAAGGGGCTGTGGGCAGTTTTTATTGTGGAAAGGAAGCCCCAAGTAGCAGGTGGAAAATTTGGGCCCAGCCCAAGACTGGCTTCTACACCCCAGATGGAGCAGGAGGGGCTCTGAGGATCTGGTGGACTCATCCAGGCAGGCCCCCCAGGAGGCGAGGCTGGGTTAGTAAAGCGCAGAGCTTTGTCCTGGCACCTGTGCTCACACCCATTTGGCAGGCAGCAGCCTCAGAGGCTCTGGGTGGCACCTGGGCCCTTTGTCTCCAAACTGGGCATCTCTGGGGACTTAAGCTGGGAAGGTGGGTCTAAGCTGCCACCTGGCTTAGGAGCCCAAGACCCCCAGCCCTGCTGGCCTATGGCTTGTCTAGGGGCTGCCCACCAGGCATGAGCCCATCTCTCTGCCTCACTCTAGGTGGGGGCATCTCCAGCTATGCAGACAACCCTTCCGGGGCCGGCCAGAGTCTTGTTGAATGCCTTGAACAGGCACTTCGAGACGTGCCCAAAGAGAGACACGCAGGCACGCCCCTCTACCTGGGAGCCACAGCGGGCATGCGCCTGCTCAAGTGAGTGTGCCCGACCCCTGACCTCTTGCTCCTGGGTCCACACGCCCTCAGGCAGACCCCGAGCACCCATGAAGCACGATCATGCCACATGGGGAGAAGGCCCCTCAGAGTCCTTCCCATCTTACAGCCTGACCAGTCCAGAGGCCTCAGCCAATGTGCTTGCGGCGGTGACGCAGACGCTGACCCAGCACGATCATGCCACATGGGGAGAAGGCCCCTCAGAGTCCTTCCCATCTCACAGCCTGACCAGTCCAGAGGCCTCAGCCAATGTGCTTGCGGCGGTGACGCAGACGCTGACCCAGTACCCCTTTGACTTCCGTGGTGCGCGTATTCTCTCGGGCCAGGACGAGGGGGTGTTTGGCTGGGTGACTGCCAACTACCTGCTGGAGAGCTTCATCAAGGTGGGCCCGGTGGCCAGCCCAACAAGCTGGGGGCATGGCCGTCCATCCACCTGCTGACCCCAACCTCTACTCTCCACAGTACGGCTGGGTGGGCCGGTGGTTCCAGCCAAAGAAGGGGACCCTGGGGGCCATGGACCTGGGGGGTGCCTCCACACAGATCACCTTTGAGATGGCCAGTGCAGCTGAGGATCAAGCCAATGAGGTCCAGCTACAGCTCTATGGCCAGCACTACCGAGTCTACACCCACAGCTTCCTCTGCTATGGCCGTGACCAGGTCCTCCAGAGGCTGCTGGCCAGTGCCCTCCAGGTGCCCCTTCACCCCCAGCCCACCCACACCACACTGTGGAGGGAGTGAGAGGGGACCGGGGCCAAGGGCTCCAGAGCAGAGACTGGACAGTGGCCAGAAAGAGGGCTTCCCCACACCGAGTTTTGATCGGCTGGAAGGACAGGTGGGGAGGACCCCAGATTGAGCACAGGTCCAGTGGCTGGGTGTGGGTCTAGAGAAAGGAGGCCCAGGGACAGATCTCAGAGGGCCTCAAATGCCTGGCCGTGAGGTTCAATTTTTGTCCAGCAGGCACTGGGGAGCCATCGATTGCTCCTGAGCTCAAAAATGAGGTTGCCAAAGTGGGACTTGTGGGAGACTCATCAGGCTGGTCCTCTGGGGTGCGCGTGGCAGGCAGTGCTTGGAGTGGGGGTGGTGCCACCTGCACTCTGGTTGTCCCACCAGACCCATGGCTTCCACCCCTGCTGGCCAAGGGGCTATTCCACCCAAGTGCTGCTCCAGGACGTGTTCCGGTCACCATGCACTGCGGCCCAACGGCCCCGGACCTTCAACAGTAGCGCCAGGGTCAGCTTGTCTGGGAGCAGCAGCCCCAGCCTCTGCCGAGACCTCATTTTGGGACTCTTCAGCTTCTCATCCTGCCACTTCTCCCGATGCTCCTTCAGTGGGGTCTTCCAGCCCCCAGTGGCTGGGAACTTTATCGTGAGTCCAGGCAAAGGGGGTTGGAGCAGGTACCCTGAGTGCCTGGGGTTTGGCCATGGTGTGACTGTAGACCCCTCGCAGGCCTTCTCTGCTTTCTTCTACACCGTGGACTTCCTGAGGACTGTGATGGGGCTGCCAGTGGCAACCCTACAGCAGCTGGAGGCAGCCGCAGTGACCGTCTGCAACCAGACCTGGGATGAGGTGAGGCCTGTTCCCTACCTCCTCCAGGGCCACGCAGGAGTGCTCGGCGGGCTGGCATCACGTCTTCCCAGCATTCACTCGCTCTATAAGTAGAGAGGGACCCAAGCCTCTCAGAGCAGACTGTTTGTCTGGCAGGCATTGAGAGATTGAAAAGTGGCCAGGCTATAGCAGCAAGGCCGGGATCCAGGTGGTCCAGGGTTTCAGAAGTTTCCCTAAAGCCTGAACCTACAACCGAGATCTGGAGGGCAGAGAACAGCAGGTGCAAAGGCACCATGGCAGCAGGAAGCCTGGAGCACGCAGGGGCAGAGAGGCGTGTGAGTGGGACAGAGCGTGGGGGAGAATGGACCAACAGTGGAGAAGCAGGACCAGGAGAGACTGGGCATGTGGGATTGGCAGGGACTGGGTGGAGGGGGGGGCAGTGAGGAGTGGGTTTCTGACGTCTCTGCTGGCCAAACGCTGGTGCCATGTGAGGAAAGATACAGAGGTTTGAGCACGAAGAGGGTGAGGTGCCATCAGAGACTCGCGGAGAAATGTGCAAGCCATCCGCGGGACTCGGGTGGTGACAGATGCCCCGTCCTGTCTTCTCTGTGCCTACTCTCAGGCAGACTAGGGGTGTGGGCAAGTGGGGAACAGGAGGCAAGCGCAGGGGGGGCCTGACTCAAGCCTGGAGCTCCTCCTGTTCGCCTGGCCATGCGCCGAGGTTGCTGCTGCCCTCTGCTCCCTGGTGGCCATCCCTGCTGTCCCCTCGCGTCAGGTCTTCCAGGCACAGGTGCCGCAGGGAGGGAGGACCCTGCCATCCAGCAGCCAAAATGTTCATCCCCGAGGGATGCCCCCTTGGACTCGGTCTTGCTACGCGTTTCCAGGCCGTGTCGCGGTCTTTGGCCTCACATTGCCCGTGTAGGGGGGACGGCTCCCCGTGGTCGCCGGCCCGACGGTCTCCCGCCCGCGTCCCAGCTGCAGGCGCGGGCGCCAGAGCAGCGGGCCCGCCTGGCCGACTACTGCGCCGGGGCCATGTTCGTGCACCAGCTGCTGAGCCGCGGCTACGGCTTCGACGAGCGAACCTTCCGCGGGGTCACCTTCCAGAAGAAGGTGGGAGCCGGGGCCGGGCCGGGGGCGCTTCCAGCCTCCTTCCATCCCCTTCCAGCCCCACTCCACCCCTCTCACCCCCTTCCAGCCCCTCCACCCGCTTCCAGCCTCCTTCCATCCCCTTCCAGCCCCACTCCACCCCTCTCACCCCCTTCCAGCCCCTCCACCCGCTTCCAGCCTCCTTCCATCCCCTTCCAGCCCCACTCCACCCCTCTCACCCCCTTCCAGCCCCTCCACCCGCTTCCAGCCTCCTTCCATCCCCTTCCAGCCCCACTCCACCCCTCTCACCCCCTTCCAGCCCCTCCACCCGCTTCCAGCCTCCTTCCATCCCCTTCCAGCCCCACTCCACCCCTTCCATCCCCTTCCAGCCCCCGCCATTCCTCCCCCCGCCCTTCACCCTCTCATCCCTCTCACCCCCTTCCAGCCCCCTCACTCCCTTCACCCCCCAGCCCCCTCCGGCCCCCCTCCACGCTCTCCAGCCCGGGCTTCGCCTCAAGGCCTCTGCTCCGCCTCCTCTTCCTGGGGGTGGGGAATTCCTCAGCCTGTGACTCAGGACTGGGTCTCCAGGGACTAGGGCCTTTATTCTGATCACCAGGGCCCTTAGAGCCCCCTCCCCATGGAGTCTGGGTCTGTGTCGGTGAGAGGGTCAGAGCCTACAGGCCAGGAGCCAGCCCAGCACCTACTCGTACAAATTTTGTAATAAAAAGTTTTTCCTAGAGCAGTGAAGAGTGTTTGCGGAGTGGGACATCTTTGCTGTCCCTTCCTCCTCTCAGCTGTGCTGGCCATGCAGCTGGTCCCGAGGGTGGACGCTGGCTCTTCCTACTTCCTTCCTCTCTGGGCCCAGACCTTGGGCAGTGCTGGCCACTCCCCTGCTCTGCTGTGGTGGCCAGGAATACGTGTGGATGGCCACCAACACGATTGTGTCTGAGACCCTCGAATCTTCTCTGGCTAGCACAGACCCCGCAATCCACCACCCCCAGATCCACATCAGTGACCTAGGCCAGACTGTGTGCTGGACTCTGGCCTAGAGTAGGCCTTGGAGTGAGGGTGAGGGGCAGGGGGTGTCGGAGGGGGGAGGCAGTGGACGAGGCCTAGGGTGCACTCAGTGCTGTTAGACACCGTGGGAGGAAGGCAGGCCCTCATCAGGAGGTGGTGTGGGGGTGGGAGATGAGACCAGGACCGGGAGTGACCCAGAGCCCCATCCCAGGGAGAGATGAACTTCGAAAAGAGCCTGGCTCTGGAGCCAAGGCATGCAATGGCACTGGGACGCCTTGCCCCTGTCGCCTGGTACTGAGTCTTCTGCATGCCCAAGAGGCATCCGGCACCTCCAAGCAGCCTGCACCCCAAGAACTGTCAACCTCCAGGATGGGAAGGCTGGTCTTGGCTACATCTTCCCCTCCCCCCCCCCATTCTGGGAAGTGAGCTCAGACACTGTTTCTGTCTGTCAGTGCCCTGTGGGGAGGGCGGCGGTCCTTGTTCTGCCCGCTCCTCCTCCGCACACACCCCCTGCCATTGTCTGGGCCATTCCACAAAGCTGACGGCAGCCGGCACCAGTTTTGGTGTTCTGAGACCCGCAGGACCCAGAGGCAGCACTGGGTGGGGGGGTCTCGTCCTTGTTTCTCTTAATGACTGAGCCAGAGGAAGGTGTTCTGGTGGGGTGGGGTAGGTGCGCTCTCGGGAGGCAACAAGTAAGGTGTAAGGGGGGACATCATAGGTACTCATTGCCGTGGGGCCCGAGGAAGCGAAAAGGCGGTCACCTGGGACCACCACCACCTTGGACAGCTCCCAGCTGGCTTTCAGCAGCTGCTCCAGGTCCCTCTTGCCCCCTGGTGGCCTCACTGAGAGCGGCTATCCGGGATCCAGCCAAACTGGCCGTCAGAACTGGTTTAATTCTGTGCCCGTGTGTTTGCTTTCACCCGAGTGTCCCCGAGTGCCTCGATGCCTCTTGGGGCACACCTGCGCATGCCTGCGCACCTGTTTCATCTCCTGTGCACCTGTCTGTGTGCACCTGGTGCTCCTTGTTTCTGGGTGCTCACGCCTCTAGGCCCAGGCAGGTCCTCTGCTCCAGCGGAGGTGGGGTCGACCGTTTGGCAGCCGGACAGGGAAGAGGCGAGGAGGGGGCGCACCCGGGAAGCCCACCCCCGGCCACCCCCAAGCCGGATTTCCGGGGATCAAGGAGGGACCCGGCTGAAAAGGCTGCAGGGGCAGAGAGGCGGCCTGAGG